GCTCCTGGGACACTGTCATACATTTTTAAAAAAATATAATTGGGAAGAGAGGAATTTATGAAGCCTGGCTTTCTTGTGGGTGTTTCTGCCTAGTTTAATAACATCCCCTTGCCTAGTAAGGTACAAGTCAAAAGGGGGATTTCTAACCCTGCTCTGCAACAATATAGCTACATACACAGAACTGTGCTTCTCACAGTGAAAACAGGGATCTCTTTCCTCTGTCTGGTTTTCCTTTTTGGCAAAAAGCCAATATGGTTAAGACATATGCTCTTGCATCATGTTTGAGGGAAACTACGCAGTGAATTCAAAGGTTACGTATAGGTGGGGAGGATGTAAGGGACCATCCGACACATGCAATGATTTTCTCCAGAAACAAGATAAGGATTTGGAGATTCATAATGATTCAGCAGTGCCTGCTTTTCAACTCAACAGTCTATGCTAGAACTTGTCAATACTATGTAAATGAAGTTGTGATTTGACACGAGGCTTGTGCTTTTGTGACTCATTTGCTGATTGCGGAAGAGAGAGGAAAGGATTGCTAACTAGCCTGAGGCAGGAATGGAGCATTCCCAAAGTCATTTGGTGCAACTGAGTTGCCCTATTCTGCATGTAACAAGCTCCCCAGCCTCAGTAATATCATTAAAAATAATAATTAAAAATTCCACAGGCCACATTTGAGTTTGATGTAAATATCCCTTTACATTATGAAAATTTGATTGATTCGATGATTCAGCATCTTCATATCATAATCCACCTATACCAATACTTTGGACATTTTTGATATGTAAGGACTTAATGTTGCTTTATTTGACCAGTTAGTGCTTTTCACATTAATTAAGAGTCAACTTGTCCAACACCTCACAAAATCAAGAAATCAGGACCTGAACTGCCATATAAAGAATACATGGTACCTCCAACTCTGAAAACTACGGGGCAATAGCTTCACCAGGAGTTATTCTTGCATCCACAGACAACAGCAACCACTCCAAAAGCGAGTGCCGAGGCTGACAAAATGTAAAGGTGACTTCCCTTCTTCACTATACTTCATATAGGTATGGGTATCAGCATTATCCATCCTTAATGGATAAAGTAAGCTTAGCAAAATTAAAGCAAGTAGCTGAATTGTTACGAAAGGGCATTTTCTTAGAATCTTATTTTTCCCATCATATATTCACATATGTCAAATATTTCAATGTTGATGATCAAAACAGTGTTGTTAAATTCTCTGAAGCAACCATGCTTTGCCCATATATGCTCTGTCTATCAGGTATTGGAAACTTTTCTTTATGATTGAAAACTGTACTTCCACCAAAAAAGAAACACAGAAAAGCCACCATACACTTACCGAATGACGAGTAATTCAACCCAGACTCTCACAAAAGCAGGTAATGGGCCAAAAGCCTCCAGGATATATGTGTAGTGACCACCAGATTTCTTAATGCACGTTCCTAGTTCAGCATAGCAGAGAGCACCTGTGAAAATTACACTGTGGCATCAGGAGAAATACCAAAAAAACCCTTCAAAAAAAAAATATATGTATATAAAAATATATATATTTACATATATAAGCTAACAATGGAGCTATCGGGGTATCACAACTACTTTTCATATATTTTAAACATTTTTTTTCACACAACTGTGTAAGCTTTAATTCATTCAGCTAGACTGGGAGTTAAGCAAACTGTACATATATCCAGTTACATTTAAGTGTAAAGCCACTGAACAAACTCTTTGCTATCAACACATCTCATTACTCACCCATATCTTGTGAAGAGGGACAACAAAACGCTGCGTCACAAGAGCTACCCAGGTTGCACTGCTACCTGAAAGCTTTCTAACACATTTGGTTGTTATCGAATCACAGTCAGCTCCTTGCAGCCGTAGAGATGCCTGGATCAGCCTCCGAAGCAAAGCCTGGAAATTGCGTTACCCCTCTTCAGTCACAGTCGAAGCAAGTGACCGGCCAAAATTTGGAAGAAGGAATTGTGTATTAAAGTACTCCCAATGTCACATGTAGAAAATTCAGGGGTTGGCTTAGCGCTGGCTTTTCAACACTGGTGCAGCGTTACTGTGTACTACTAATGCAATAAAAGCTCATTTCATTTCAGCATTGCCTTAAATAGAGACGTCTTCACATTTGCAAAGCAGGAGGCTTATTTCATCCTTTATTGCATTTAGATAGACTAAAATAAATCAGATCACACACCATATTGCTGCATCTGTCCATGCAGGAGTGGTTCAGGCCCCTCTGAACACAATGCTTAAGCAAATTCTGTTTTGACTAGATGGAAAAACCAAGGTCTTCTGACAGGGTTACAGACTGTATCCGACGTCTGTCTTTACAGGGGAAATTTGGTTACGGGCAGGACCTTCCACATTTGTACAACAGATTACGCTGCACATTTGTACCAACACATTTAATATCTGACCAAACCAGGTCCTAACTTGCTTGCACCATCTGTTTGGCTTGGGTGGGCTTAGCCTATAAACAGTCCATGTTTCTTATAAGCTCAGAGCCAATTTACACAGGGTAGCATTTGCGTGTTCCACCTATTAAGCAGACACGTGTTAGTCCATGTTTGTCCTCTTGACCTCGTGCCAGAAAACAAGTCGTTTCTGTCTTAAATAAAGCCAATATTCATGTTAGCTCTTCAGCTTCTTTGAGATTAACTCATTAAGTAGGTCAGTTGACCCTCTGTCCCGCAGAAGCCAGGGTGGGGTTTTCCACTCTGAAAGGGGGCTTTGTGTCCAGAACAAATAAACTGGCATTCTTCAGAATTCAATACTCCTCAAAAATACACAAAACGAGTAAAAACTGTCACGATAGGCAAGCCGGCAACAAAACTCACAGTACAACTTTGTTTCCATCACACTTTTTCTTGCAGCACAATCTTTCAAAGCAACATCGTGAGCGAGGAATGAAGACCGGTAATAGAAGACCGGGGAGAGGGGTTTATTAGTGTTATTATTTTGCTCCTATCATTCCAATACGGCTTATGTCCAGTGGGAATTATTCCTCTCGGACCTTACTCTAGCCTCTAGGGAACTAGGCTGAGCTGTTCAGCAGAGTGATCTGCATTCCCAGCTGCCAGGGGCCTTCCAAGCAAACCATAAACTACCTCTCACAGCCAGAAGAAAAACATTACACATAGCGCACATTGTATGGTATAAAACAGACATTTACTTTTCCTGTTCCTTTAGGGACCCATAAGACACAATAATTTACACTTTCAATCTATACCAGCCAGATGCCAGAGGGGGGACAGGGGTTGCATACCTCTGCGTCCTCCACCCAACCTATCACGCAGCACAAACCTTTTGCAGCTCTATTGGTCCTCCAGCTCCACTCTGTGCAATGCTATCCAATGGCAAAAATCAGACAAATCATAGCAATAATCCATCAGCCGCCCCTTGGGACCAATTAGAATCTTCTAAGGGACTTACCGAAGAGCGAGAGGATACCACACGCTGTCCAGACAATCAAGGACATGCCCACGCTGCCCGTGTTCTTCAGGATGCCTTTGGGAGAGATGAAGATGCCGGCTCCAATGATAGTGCCAATTATGATGGATATCCCCCTCAAAAGTGTCACTTTCTTCTTCAGCACAACTTTTCCCTCCTGGGCTGGCTGTCCGTTGCCCATAGAGGGCAACCTGCCATCAGCTTGTCCCTGCAAGTAGCTTCCATTAGAGACCGTGGTTACAGGAGCTTTCCTAAACATGCTACAGTGCCACCAGCACGCTGACGGCAAGCACCGGCAAAAAAAAAAAAAAAAGAAAAGAAAAAAGTTTGCAGCAGAAACTCAAAGGTTGTTGTGGAGTTTTTTTCCCCCTCTTCTCTGTGTAGCCAACTACTTAGCCTCTTCCTGTGCCCTCTCTTATCTTTTACAGCTGCTCCTATGCACAGGTAGCAGGCTCCGTATTTGAGCCTTGAGTGCGATCGGAGCACTGCTGAGGAACACCTGCGCTTTCACACTGCGAGCTGGTACTGCCCTATCATTGGAAACCAGCTCAGCTTCCGCGTGGACTTGTATTTAAGCTCTTGTCATACCAAGTTACTCCAGCTGAATGATGATGCAAATTCTCCAGGTTTGCATCAGCCATTTGAGAAACCTCTGGCATTACTCAGCATTTCTCTTTTTTTTCTTCTTTTTTTTTTTCCCTCTTCTTCCTTTTAAACAGTAGGGACATGTTGCACAATGACCTGAGGGTGCTGGGAAGAACAAATCACTCACAAGCAAACCGAGCCAATCAAGTTAAGTACATCACCCTCGACACCCCAAGACACACTCCCAAATTTTTTTAAAGCGACTCAGAGCCAGAAACAAAAGCCTGCCTAAACACAAAGCTCATCAGCGCGAAAGGAGAAAAGAAACCAAACAGGATACGTCATCCTTGGGTCTAATCCAATTTCTTTCTCAACAAACTCCTCATAACGAAAGTTAGGTTTGTGGGACTTAACTTCTGGTGTCGCAATTGATCAGCCTCTCATACTTCTCTGTTAGTTCCCTGGAAATTTCTATATGGACCTGCATCTACCAAAAAATGTACATAACAACTCCCTCATTACCCCAAGTTGCCTGGCAACACACCCAAACCAGCCTCATGAAAACCCGAGGTCACTTCCACAGAACACGAGTTCCGACACATGCAGCGTGTTTCTGGGATGTCGGTGAGCAACACCGCTTCCCCTTAACAAATCCTGTTAATATTTACAGCCACCTCGGGTTTGTGATCTGGCAGGAGGAGGACAACACCCCAGAACATGGGATCTCGAGCGGCTCAGAGAGCACAACAGGGTTTCTGTGTTTTTGTAGAGCTTCCCTGACCAGACAAGCAGGTAATCAGATGCATAAATACATTTGTTTCACAACCTGAGCATGCAAATTCAAACCTGAGGGATTAAACTGCTTAAAAGGGGAGCATTCTCATAAGAGAAAGCAAAAAAATCAATGGTCTTCAAGCATTTGTAACCTAATTGAGGGACAGCCTGTGCAATATATGCCAAAGGGGAAAAAAATCCTTCATAGCACAACTACGGCAGCTGCTCGTGGCTTCAGATTAGATCAGTGCAAAGAGGAATGATTACTACAGCTACTGCTTAATTAGGACCTAGGATTGATGGGGGTGGTGGGGAAGATAGCAGTTAAAGCATTTTATCATTTGAAAAGCAGGCACTGAGGTCAGAGCAGTAGTCTACTTTCAAATTTATGTGAGAGATTTTAGAGTATCAACACATTACAGCTGTAAAACTTCAGTATTATTAAAGCCTCATGTTTTCAGTTGCAACTCACCTAAAATAATTTGCACTGAGATAAAAGAAAGCATTAGAAAAAAAAAAGCGCCTACCTAGTTTAACTGCACAGGTAAACACCAAAAGCGTAACTTTTGACTAACACGCTGCTAGTGCTTGCCTGTTTTCCAAACACATCCTACTTCTCCTTCCATCTCCTGATGTGCGCAGCCGCCAATCCCTCACTTCTCCGCACAGCTCACACTCCCCTTGTCACTGAACTGGGTGCCCAACCTTTTGGGGAAGCAATCGCCCCTCCAGCATGGGCCATGGACTGCACAGACCCACAGCGCCAGGATGTCCTCTGGTCACCACAGTGTCCAAACCAAGCCACTTTTGGCAGCACCGGTTACACACAAAGCCCTAAGTAGGTGGTGTGTCCCGCAGAGTTGTTTTCCCTGGTGTACAGTTCATAGACTGCCCCCCAGTAAGATTACAAACGCCTGGAGTAATAGATCAAATAAAACCAGAGAAAAGCAGTAACCACAGAACTGGGTTGGGCTGATGACCTCGATTTTAATTTTCAAAGGCTGTTTACTGAAGAAACACATGACATCTTAAAACATCTCATACTTAAAGGTAATCATTCCTAACTCATGCTTACCCTTTATTTACATGGAAAGATGGTTGCAAGATCAAACCAAAAGCTCAGCAACCTCCCAGATGATCCTGAAGCAGCTCCCAGCAATCCAGCTGTCTACATCAGCTATTCAGTAAAAACACTGGACAGTATAATTGCTTTCAAATTTCATTTGACCACTAGCTAGAAGAATGCATGTTTGCCTGTTGGACATAGCTATTAACACTCTCCCACGCAGGGAAAAGGGTGCTTGCATCTTCTGTGGTATAGGGATAATACACATATAAAGCTTAGGACCATGTGAGACACCCAGTGAAATTTTTAAGGTGGGAAGTAAGGAAGGCTGGATGCCAAAAACACTTTATCCTAAACACTGGCAGCTTGCTAGTGATCACACTATTTGCAGCCTTCCCAGAGAGCACTGCTGTGCACATTACTTCTCAATGCTATCCACTAAAAATTCAAAAAATAGGAGCACTTCTCCTTTGAGTTCATGCCTTACTTCCAGTTACCAGTTCCACCCAGGATAGGAAATACGTTTATTTGGTGTTGCAGGATTACCTGTTATATTTTGCAGACTGCACGAGAATTCTCCATCACCTGAGCCAAATCGTGAGGAGGGCACGTGAGGAGGGCTGCCAAAGACCCATTACTGTCTGCTGCCCACTGTTATACAGTATACTCACTAAATTTGTTCTGAATATTTGTAGCCCACCAGCCACTTTCAGCTGAATTACTCATCACAGAGCCAAAGACCGCAGTATCACTATGCAACTGCAACATAAAATGCTCAGTGTCTCTTCAGAGAGCTCTTCTAAAAGCGCAGGTCTTAACCTGTCCAACACTCACAACAGCCCTGTTCTTCCATAAAAAATCCACTCTGAAAAGAGAACAAAAAGGTATAAAGTGCAATTTTCTTTAGACCTATGAAATTATTTGAAGCAACGTCTCTAAAAACGATGCTCTGAAAATAAACCTTCAACCTCTAATGGCAGCTGGCATTGTGCACAGCCTTTTATTGTTTCTCTCTGGTGGCTTTTTTTCCCCCCCAGTTCATAGACATTTCCTCCCGAACAAACATTTTAAAGTATAACTGAGAACATCGCTGTGAAATTCCTTTTGAATCTCACCATCAGCCCTGAACTGCTTTTCTGCTGCAAACAGAAATCCTGACCACCTCAGCCCAAGATCCCTCCTACCCCTACACGCTGCAAAGAGCTAATCCACTGGCCAAAGGATTTGGGTCCCCGAGCCAATGTTTGCCTGCTGTCATCCGTGGGCTCTGGTGACCGGGACCTTTCGGCAATTCTATAACACAACCTTTCCATCAGCCGCACTGTGATACTTGAGTAAATTAAATGCTTAAGCATCATAGGGAATAATGACATGACAGGCTAGTAGGCTGAACATGCCTGATACAGGGGCATCCCTGTTTTTCGCGTTTTCTCGTGCCAAATAGCTGGACATGGCTGTATCTTCAATTCCAAAGAAGCTGCAATACTGATATTTGTCCCAGGGAATACTACAAAATACACACACACAGAGCATTCCTGTTGATGGGAACACTATAACACACAGAGCAAAGTGAAGGACCTAAAATTCAAGCCCAGACTCGAGTTGCCACTTCTCAAGACCACAAAAACTCCTTAATTTCTAGGTGTAGTGAGCATACCTTGACAATCCGTCCGGATACCAGCTTATTGCACCAACCAAATCCAAAGAGAGTCACAAGCCAAGCCTCCAGGCCGTACATTGCCACACTGACTGGAGACACGGGAATAAAAAAGGAAGTCTATCAAGACTGAAGAGGCGAGGAAAGCCCCAAAGGCTTTTGTGTGGGTGGCATGGCATGAAAAAGTTGTTTAGAAAAACTGAGCCGAGTCTTCTCCATATAATGCCAAGCTGTTTGTAAGCCTTGTAAAATCAGCCCAGTAGGAAGGCGGTAGTCCGGCTTCAAATGTCAAAGGAGGGCAAAATACCTAAAAGTATTTGTTTCATGAAGATAATCTCGCATTAAAAAGTTTTGACTGGGGATTTTCTGCTCCTTTTGTAGCGCTGAGAAAGAGCTTAACTAGCTTTGGGGAAAAAAAAAACAAATCTGCAAGCAATTTAAGAACTAAGGTGTCATTGGGAATTAAGTGGAAATAGTATCATCATGAAGTATACAAAAATCTCAGTAGACTGGAACAGGGTTTTAAGTTATAATGCAAACTTGGAACTGTGAGAATAATAAAGAATTTGTTATTGTCTCTACTACCGGTCAAAGCTTACTTAAAAATGGAACTACTGAGAACATTGGGGGAGAGTGTTATTTTCTAGTCAGAGACTCACAAAGTAATTATTTTGCATTCCACTTTGTGTTAGATACAAAGAAGATACTTAGAAGAAAAGCAAAAAATGAAAACGAAGTAAACATCCAGCTCAGAGGGTTTAAAAATGTGAATGCTATAAGAAAACCAAAAGCAATTCAAATGTTATTTCTTGTATTTTCAGTAAAAAGCTTCCAACAAAATGCCTATGGAGTCAGCAAATAGAAATCTGGTTCTAAAAAGGCTGCAGACAACGATAGCAATTTAGACAGCAAATATTTCTGAAAGTTTCCCTGTCTTCAATTTGCTGATAGCTGTCTGTCAGTTTTCAGCTGGACGAGAAGAAAGAGGAGAAAAAAAAAATCTGAGAACTCCCTCTTACTTTTCTTGCTATTAAAGCTTTATTCCAAAATGCATGATGATTTCAGCTGAACAGTTTGGCTTTTTAATGATTTTGTATTCTCAAGTAGACAAGAATCATTGGCACCTAGTACCAAGCAAGAAAGCTGCACATGACAGAACGCCAGTTCTTACCGAAGC